CACTGTCATCAATCCTAAAGCCCTCTTCCCTTCAAAAGGCCAATTTCGCTTCTGAACTCTTTGCCCCAGGTTCCGCTGTTGAAGGTGATGGTGAGAAAGGGATAGTTCACGATGAACGATGGTTTTCGTTGTTTTCCGAACAAGTGCGTTGGTGTCGAATAGGTGTAAACCCGTCATAAATTTCAATATGATGTCATTGTAGCAGCTGCTGAAGCGGGTAGCCATTTTCCTGTAATTCAGTCTATTTTGTCCCGACTGAATTTATACGTTCAGCTACCAGTATGTGTCTATATTGTAACTACTGTCTATGAGCTTAGAGCTCATCACTAATCAGTGTGTAGATAAGCAACAATTATGATTATCATAATAGCATGAACTTTCGACTTTTGGATTCATGCTGAGTCAAATGTTTTGTTTTTAGTTTCTTTGTTATTTGTGGGAGGCAAGCCAGCAGGTATACGGATTCAACTGGAGTCCTGGTGAAGTCATATACGATCTGGACAGGAGCACGACCGTAGACAGTTGTCCTCTGGCAGAGAGCTTGTTCCCAGCATCCTGAATATCACTGAGCGATGAAAAGAAGGAAAGCGATCTCATGGCTCCTTGTTCAACATTAGAAAAACGCTTCCCTTTAAATGCTGTGTCGCTAAATAAAGTCGCGTTTGCTTCTCTAAGCCTTTGAGCATTACTCTCGGCAATGCAAAACATAAGGAACTTTGTATGACACATTTCAGCAGTAGTCGTGTTGAAAGAGAGGGATACCACATATGTCCGGGAAATCTGTGCACAAGAGCCGATACATTCTACATAAAAATTCTCTCCGAGTGTTTAGAGTTCCACTCGGGAAGGCATTTTCTTTGGATTACTACATGAGTAAAGGTAAATAACTTTTGTATCGAATATGCTTATCCGCTGTATATCACCTGAATACAGAACACGAAGAGTGTTGATCAAACCCACTCAAATGATTGATCAGTCGCAAGAAAATAATCAGTGATCTCTGCGGGATATTCAATGCATTCGGAAGTACAAACGCATCAGTCCGATCCAGTTCTCATAGCATGCCCATCGTGCATCGGGGCCTTACACTGTCCAGTGCGCTCCCCCTTCAAACGTCCTGGGGGACCGACGATCACAAAATACATAACCGAGCGCTCTCCACGTCATCCATGCCGCTTTTACTCGGTCTTTTAGTGCCTGGTTCGCTACTATGAGCGCCTAGGTCACTGCTCGCGTATGTACTAACCCCTTCCGATTCTCTTCACAAAGATTGTCTGAAATCGGCTCCTCGCGCTCATAGGAGCTGAGAAACTTGGTGTTAATCAGCTAGAGCTCGTTCTCTGTTACTACGCTACTTTTCTTGCCTTTCCTGGAGTTCTTCTCTACTCAAAAAGATGTTATTAGCCTGCAAATGATGGTCTCCAATCAGATTGACAGTAGTTCTAACTTCTGTCAGCACACAATCTCGATCAGATAATTCAAAATGCTAGCTGATGATATTGAGATATTTTAAATGTATAGATGATCTCCTTCTAACACTAAGATGTATTTGTCGCTGTCTCGCTACATCTCAACATTTCAGCAACGCAAGTTCCACGTCTCACTGACCACAGTTCAATCACCTCAATATCCACCTTTCATGTTGAATACTTAACCGTAATCATATCTTATGGAATCAGTCAGTCCACAATAATCTCTCAATCAGCTATTCTCTCCAGAAGTTCAGGACCCTGCTATTCGGATTTCCCAAAAGAACGTGATTTAGGCTTCCCAACACAATGCCTGAGCACTTCATACGGAATCGCTGCTAGATCACAATGCTTTCAAAACGACGACAAGTCATGAATTAGAGTGGGAACTGAAACTTCAAAACATGATTGGATTCTTTCTCTTCCGGTTGGATGTAGTGCAGTCACAAATGGAGCACCATCACTAGCATGAAGCGGTGATCGCATTCCGGATCGATGTTTGCCTAGGTCAACTAATGCTTCCATTATTCCTTGATCTGCTAATTAGTATCAGAACTGAGAGGATTCAAGCACTGATTAGTAGAACGGATGGCCACCGCCTGTCATTTTATAAGCCAGATAAGCCGCCCATACGACTATGATCGGTAAGCCGCTGGAAGCACGCCCAAAAGCAGGATTGGATCGAACTACGAGAATTTATTTTATCATTTCCACTTCGTTTCTCAATGCCTCGGTCCTCAAAAAAGGGTAGATCATCATCCCCGGTATGCTATGATCCATTATTCACCGAATGCCCATTCGGTCAAAACCCAAAACGACCAACTAACTGTAGTGGATGGGTTGCCCGACGTCAGTGAGCGATTCCGTACCAACCGTCGTTTGAACGAGCTCGTACACTCACTACAGCGACCATCAACCGTTTGGGGGACTAAGAAACTACAGACGAAGAAGAAATAAAAACAAATTTCGGCTTTACTCACCCTTTGCTGCCCCTCTTTGTCCAGATTAGGCTAGATTTCTATAGCCTGTTTTCAAGAAGATGAAACCGACTAGAAACTTGTCTAAGTCTAGGGGCAAGTTTTCAGCAAAGTTGGTGACCCAGTTCCATTTGGCGCCGGCGCCTGTGGCGCAAGCGCTAGCCATCTTTATGACGAGTGAATGCGATATTCCTGGTGGAATTATCCCTCTAGACAAGTTTCTCGTCGGTTCATCTTCTTGAAAAAAAAATCGACAAAAATCCAGCCCCTTCTCGACAAAGTGGAGCAGTAAAGGGTGAATAGTGCCCAGCTTTCATAAGTCACTGTGCAGCAAGTCTTCATTACAACAAATTTAATAGACAGAAAACAACGAATAAATTCTCAACACCTGTATGAGCAATGTTGAAAGAGGTAGACATTTGTAATAAATAAAATGCTCAAGCGGTCCCTACGTTATAGCATGATTCACTGTGAGGCATCGGGGTCGTGATGTGTTTGTACATCATAGAATGTAAGGACGGTTCCCGCAAAAAGCTTAACCAATCAGTTCATCATTATAACAATACAGCTGCACCCCTACAACGTCGATAGGTGAACATTTTTTCCGTAATCTAGTGAATGACGCCCTTCCATCAATAGAAATGCATGGAGGAAAAGCTTTATTTCTATTGCACAACGAAAACATGAAGTCATGTTCTCTTTCAACGGAAACGGAAAACCGCCCGAATTTTGAGCTTAGATCTCGTAAGTCCCAAAGACCCACTCATTTTTCAGCCCCATCAATAGGTAAGTAAGCTGTGTTTCATTATTTTATCGGTCTTTTCCAATTTCTGTTTTACGATTTGATTATAGCAAGCTCTTCAAAAAACCGCCAATTAGATAGTTCACACTCATTCAGTTTTTTCTATCGCCTACACCCTTCTATAGTGTAAGGGGATATCTATGGATACGATTCAAGCGCCAACAGTCCACGAGCAACGACTAGGTGCTATTGTTTACACACAGTATCACCTGTATCACCTGTCATCTTGATGATCGTCGATCTCCTCGGGCGCCGGTAACGTCTCCATTTGTCCCTGCCGCGAGCCAAAGTGGTCCAAAGAATCGCTTAAGGAGCACGAGGATCAACATTCCTTTCGTTCAGAGCCTTCGTGAAGAAGTCTGACCATCTCGTTGGCGGCCTTCCTGGAGTTCGTTTGATGTCCCGAGGGGTCCATTCAGTAAGCGCCCTGGTTCAACGGTCATCACTATATCGCATAACGTGTCTGGACTAGCTGATCTTTGATTTTTTGACGCAATCAACGGCATCCCTGATCTTCGTTCATTGGTGGAACTCGGAACTCCGGGTTCCCTTCTGCACTCGCGTGTACAGGAAAATTCCTAGCATAGTCCCTTCCGAAGCGCATCGAGTAACGCTGACAGCATGCTCATCCTGCTTTCGTAGAGTCCAGGTCTCTGAACCGTACGTCAGAGCAGGAAGAACAGCAGTGTCGAAAAGGTGAGCGCAGAGCCCGATGTTCTTTGTCTTCTTCACTACTCCCTCTACATGCTCCCCACGCGGCGCGTTTCCTTCTGCACGGCTCAGGAGCCAGTTCGCTCATCATGTTAACTTCCCGATCCAGATACACATAGCTAGAGAATTCAGAGATATTCTTTCCGTTTAGCGTGGATGGAGCATCATATACCAATTCGCTTTTCATGAACATCGTCACCGTTGAGTTCAGTGCCAATCCGATCTTTCCACAAGCATTATCAAACACGGCCAGCATTCGTTCCGCCTGCTCTATGTACGATGTTATCAGCACGATGTCGTCTGCAGAGCGGAGGCGATGTAGATAGCGGCCGTCGACCTTCACTTCCAAGTCTTCCCATTCCGAATGACGCATGATATTCTCGAGAGCGGCACTGAAAAGTTTCGGCGAAATGGTATCGCCCTGCCGGATACCTCTCTTCACGTTGATAATAACTTCGTTTTAGAATGGTAAAATCCTGGACGCAAAGTTGTCGTAGAGCTCACGAAGCATCCTAATATATTGAATAGGTTCACCCTGGTTTCCCAGAGCTTCGATTTCCGCTTCTGTCTCGACGGTGTCGAAGGCGGTCTTCAAATTGATGAGTGTAAGACATAATGGCATTTTGTACTTCAGTGAGTCTTGTCAGAGCGTGCATAAGATCGATTGTGCTGAACCCTCTCCGAAACCCTGCTTGCTCGCATGTCTGTCCTTCATCTGATATTCTGCTAATCTTGTTTAGGATAAAGCGAGTGAAAAGCTTATAGATTACAGACAGCAGACAGATTGGGCGATAATTTCCAATATCTCTGGAAATTATCGCCCAATCTGTCTGCTGTCTGTAATCTATAAGCTTTTCACTCGCTCCGTCTGGATCTCCTTTTTTGTGCAGCAACACAGTCTTGCTAGTTTTTCACGACGTGGGCGGTTTGCGTTCCGACAGGTACCGCGTGAAAAGCATAGCCAGAGTTCTGACGATGACTGGTGGAGACTCTGAAGATCTTCTGATTTGATCCTGTCGGGACCGGGCGCCGTGCAATTCTTCATCGACGTGATGGCATTTCGTAATTCGAAAGGGAGAACCGAAGGAGCGATATATTCGTCCTGCCGAAGATGGTGGGTAGGCAGGTAGACGTGGCTATCGAAGTGATCGGAGTAGAAATCGTAGATGACCTTCTCCATTGTCTCTCGCTTCGAGATGCAGTAACTGTTCCGTCTGGGCGACGAAGAGAAGTCATCTTAGGCTTGCAATTGGCGAACCTCCGCCGGGCTTTGCGAATGTTCTTTTCGGCCTCGGTGGCTTCCTTCGTAACTGCTGCTCTTCTCTCTTTCAGATTTTCCTTTTTCGCTTCTCTGCATAGCTTCGCAAGTTCGGACGCTTGTCGATGATTGCCAGAAGCTCGCGCGACTCCACGTTCGTGTATCAGCTCGAGAGTCTTCGAAGAAAGTCGTCTCTTGGTTTCTTGTAGACTCTCTGTTTTCCTACCGCTATCGTGGAGATGTTCAATGAGCCGATTGTATTCTTCATCGATGTTGTCGATAACGGAATCTTCCCATTTACTCGCAAGGGAAGCGAAGTGACTCCATTTCATGGAGGTGTTGAGGCTTCGTTCCCAAACTTCATAGCTCTCTCCACGCACTGGAAAGCCGATTCTAGAGCAGAGGAGACGATNGAGCAACTGCGACGTCAGTCAGGCAAAATCTCCTATTAAAGGTGATGCGGTTTATTTCATTATGGAACTGCCCACCAAGTGACTCCCTTGTCCATGGTAAATGAGAGGGTTTCTGGAATTGCGAGTTACCATGGATGGTGTGGGTCGACATGATAAAGTCGCACACCCTTTCATCCTGCTCATTCCACTCCATTCCGTGAGTCCCGATGCGGAGCTCTTCAGCCGTTCTTCTGGAGCCCATCTTGGCGTTTAAATTACCGACAATGACCATGAAGAAATTGTGGTGTTCTCTGTAGAGCCTCTTAAGATCAATATGGACGCCTCCAACTCTTCTTCGTAGCTTGATTGGTGCGTTCGCAAAGAAGATGGTTAGAGCTGGGATGAGCCACATTTTCTTAATCGCAAACGTCCGATTTGGGTTGTTAAGCTTTTGTATTAGTTGCCATGGACGAGTGCGTATTGAGGAGGACACCTGCGCCACCGACGCCTCTACTGTCGCATGCTCCAAGAAACAGTTCTTCTCCAATCTCAAATACAGCGTGCAGCAGGCGATGCATTCTCGTCTCGATCACTCCGATGACGTCGTATTTGGTCTTCCTAGCTTGCATCATCAGGTCTTCTATACACGCTTCCAATGCAAGCGTCCGCGCGTCGAAAGTACAGATCGTCGTCTTAATCCTTCTCATTTTGGGCAGCCTGTTTTGGCCCTGAGATATTAGCAGACTTTCCCGAGCGGTCCTACCCAACTCACTGGGGGCTTCCTCAGGTTCAGGGGAATGAGGCCCAATTCTATCACTGTTTTTGGCCTGTAGATTACCCAACGTGCAGCTTGCCAGGTTCTGACGTGGGGGCTAGGTTAACCGCTGGGCTTGCCAGGCTATCCCAAAGTGGACGAGGAGCTTAGTTTTTGGAGGCGGCCCCGAATCGCCTCCCAGTACTTCCCAGTCACTCGAATGGAAGCTTTTCGCCGAGTCGATGAGCAGGATATCAACTGCACCCACAGACTCTCCATACACGTATGTGTGGATACGCCTGCGACAAGCAGAGGGAATGTCGTCTCAGCGCAGCAGAAGCAAGAAGTCTATCCCTAAGTCCACCTGCGTCTCTGGGCAAGTACCGCGGACTTCTGGTCGGCGATTAATTCTCCTATCCGCCACCTGGGGACGCCCTACGTAGCTTCGTCACTAACAGGCTGGAGATCCTTCAGTGAGAGAGAACTCAGTGAAGGAGATCCGTAGTGCACACAGTACTTTTTCAAAATTTGCTTAGACTTCTCGATTCGCTCAAGCATACGTCTTCTCGGAGCGTCACCAGTGACGTCGTTCAGATTCTGGATATCCTCTAGTGTTATTAAAATCGTACATAATTTAACACATTTTAGCCTTTCGGTGAGTAGCATCACCTGACTGTGATAGGAATACACGAACATACCGGTCCCCACAAGCAGCTATTAATCGCGCCCACATGGTGAATATTTGATGACAGGTATCCGCTGATCACCATTCGCATCATTCACTAGAACATATGATTATTACGAACTAAGAAAAGATGTAATAAAGAGACGACTTAACGACGTACATTCAGGGAAGTCTTTGTGTTCGTCCTCACTGCTGAATGTCTTCAACGTGGAACTACAAGAGACCTCGAACTGTCACCGGAAGGGCTCATAGCGAACACGGTCTGCACTAGCTTCCTTGAGCAGAGACCATTCTCCCCTAGACAGAAAATTTGATACGATAGGTTTCCATTATGTTAGGAAACCTTCCCGAGCTTTAGTGGTTCAGCGGTAGTTGAAATCATGAAGAATACAACTGTTAATTATTATCGCTTCCTGGCCTTGAGCATATCGTATGCCTCTGTCTAACACTGTTCAAAACCCATCACGCCAGTCCGTAACCGCTGAAGGATTCGCATTGAAAACCATCGCGGAAACTCCAAAATTGTGACCCTGCGAATCATTTTTATTTCGTGGTACAGTATTCTTGTGCCGTCCAAGATTGTTAGTTGGAACAATTTATTAGTCATCAGCCTAACGTTTAGACGTTTTCATCTTCTTCAAAGGCCTAAAGTAACTCGGAGCTATTTGCACAGTATCCAAAAAATGCATTATCCCCTGTCGAATGTGACGGCGAATCCAAAACCCGTAATCCGCAGACGTCCACGGGCGACTGTCAGTAGCGAGTGAGGCTATTGGCTGTCTCCCTTACACTTGCGATAAGGAAGATCATGTTATAATGCTACTGAGTAACAAGTCGCAGTTTGCGGTATATATGGCAAAAGATCGTTGGTTATGGACTGGCACTCATTTTAACTGTTCATCATTTTAGGATTTCTTCGGGAAATTCAGATAGCCTCAAACGCCTTCCTTGCTGAAATCTCCGTTTCCTGTGCTAATATCCGCTTGATTTTTAGATATGAGCATGAGCGGTGGAACCTTGGTGAGTTATGGTTCGTATTATGGGTTTTGAATTCGCCGTCACATTCGCCTGAAAAAGACGAAAACGTCCAAACGTTAGGCAGTTGACTAAATTGTTCCACCTAACAACCTCGGACAGCACAAGGATATTTTAATCATAAACAACTATTCTGAGGTGAGAGCAAGAGAGAAGTTGGAAACTATTCTATTTCACTTCATTCGACTATATGAAGACGGACGGGTAAAGTCTTCAAGACTGCATACCTTCAGATAGATAACTCTTTTGGCATCTTGGAACACCTTTTCTCGATTGAATATGACTCAAACCAAAACCTCGTTGAAGAAGAAAGTTAACAATATCCTTCATAAATGTACTTCATCAACAAAAACTTTTGTTGCAAATCCACAAGCAGCAACAAACTAACCAGCAGGCGATATTACTACATTGAAAAGAGAACTCATCTGCAAAGCTCAGAGAAAGTGATGAAGACAAAAGAAAAATGTGAGAAACGAATCTGCATCGGGTGCTATACTTTTTAAGAGTTTGCCATGAATCAAGAACCTGTGATCGCCATCATAAATAAATAAAGGCTCAGAATTTCAAGAGGTTTCATTAAATATATCCAACCCTACTAACTTCAAGATAACGCAAAACAAGAATTGTGGCTATGGCTATGGCTTTGCTATTAGGTATGATCTTGTCTCACGGCTACATAAAAGACGTGGTGGCGAATGCTATGCTGTCAAAACAAGAGAGATCGAATTAGCTTCCTTTTCTGCTTCAACTTGTCGTTCTTTTCACTTAGTGCTATTTCCTGGGACTCACCAAACTTATCTCGATCTAATTCATTTCATAAACATTCAAAAAAATTCATTAATTCTTCAATTCAATTCATTTCATTCATTCTTTTAACATTCAAAGATTCATTCAAACATAAACAGCGGTGTCGAATCGACCGTGAAAAATAAACTCATTGTTTGACATTAGTCAATCCCATCTCAAAGCGCGTTCATCTTCGATTTCAAATTTTGACTAGGGTTCGGCACAACTCCTTGGCACGAATTTGACCCCGCTCATAATCTGTAGCCATATGCCGATGTTATTACAGCTGGACACCATCTTCAAGATGCTATAGAGTTCTATTCAAATTCGTTCCCAAATGTATTTTTGTACATTCGCCCTTTTCATCCCTTGGAAGTTTTTTTCGAAAAATGTGGAATATCTGGTAAGCAAAAATTGCCAACAGTCTTGGCGTCTGTATGAAAAGTGCATAGAAGAAGTTTGCGGTCCCATCAATGTTCAAAAAGCATCGGTAAAGAAGGTGAGTTTCAATATTTATGGAAGGAAAGAGTGTGCTGTACTAGTTCAGGGATTGAAAGTATGTTTATGGGGTCTGTTTGTTAACTTGCAACAGTAACTCCAGAAAATATTGCACAAGCATTGACATTTATTGGTGTCAATCCCAGAACTCCCGTTTCATCAGAAGCCCAATCTCGCCCAGCTCCTGAATTCCTTCCACCATGAAATTAATAGACGTTAAGATTGTCTCAACATTGGAATGCTATGAAAAGAGTGATAAAAGATAAAGGATGGCTATCACTGCTTTCGAAAAAAAGTGCGAGGGTGTAACATGACCGCTGACATGACATGATTTTGCCCACTACCAAAGTCCATGAAGGTTCTAAAGATGATCAGCTTTCGCGAGTGGTTCAGAAGTTTAATGCGGTGGTATCAAGAAGTTAACTCGAAATTAGCATAATTGCATAATCAAAATACGTCTCTGTAATGGCCATTTATAGGAATAACCATACACCTGCAATTCAGCTGATTTGGTTTCGACGCTGAATTGATAGGTTCAGTTACCATTATGCATGTGTCTAGTTTATAAGCACTATTCAAGAACCCAGTGCTTCCTACTGCTCAGTGTATAGATATACAACAACAGTGATTACAAGTTTTTAAAATCTTTGTTTTCAGTTTGGTTGCTATTTCTACGTGACAACCCAACGGTCAATCGGTTCTTTGGATGCTGATACACAACCATATGATTTAGAGGGAAGTACGCCCAACATTTGTTGTCCTCACCTTCAAGTTATACTACTACGGTAAAAGGTAGTGGCAAAAGACCTTCTCTTTTTGTCGATGAATCCCATTTTCCGAAAAGGGCGGGGATAAAGCCGAGCTCGTGACACGTAAATTTCATTTGGTCTATAGGTCTTCTTTTCAATATCTTTCTCAATAATTACTGCCTATTTGCATCCTTATGCAGTCTTCCATTTGTTTTCATAGGCACGAGATATTTGACCCTTTCTGGAGGGGCTATATTATTTGGGGTAATAGAAAAAAATTGACCAAAGTCTCTCTCTTTTAAGCAAAATAATATCCCCTCTGAAATCGTTATCCTTGTCAAAATGGTACATGGACAAACTTTTCTTCCCTAGAGCATATCTTCAATCTGTCTTTCATAAGAGGTAAAGTTGCTCCATGTTGGAGGTATTCACTAGTTGCACCGGTGCCAAAAAGAGCACGTTGCACCAAGTGTGAAAGCAATCGCCCACTAATCGTGAGAGCATTTGAAAAAATAATAAGACGTTGACTCATGACTCACTCAAAGCGCAGTGATTGTCCTATCTTGACAACATGGTTCCTGTGCGAGGTGGCAAGTGGAGACTGCTTTGTAGTATCCCTAAACGATTGGAGCGAATCTTACATAAAAAAGTAAATCCACGTAGTATAATCGGACTTTGCAAAGACCTTTAACTCAGTGCCCATACCCCTTCTTTTGAATAAACTCCAGTATGTCAGTTTTCGTTGCAAAGCTATTAGGTGGATAAGAAACTTCTCACCTAATCGAAGTTATCGACTACACACTGCTAACATTTTATCCACCTAACTCGGCCGCCAGTGGTGATCGAGATCGAGAAGGAGTTTTGTCACCATTATTACTGCTAACGTGTTCTCATAATGTAATATTGTCGGATTTGGGTACATTCGCCCAACTCGCCCAATTCTGGATGGCGCGGCAAACTGCGCGGCGAGTTCGTGGTGATTTGAACGACTCCGGCTGCCCTCATTGGAGCACAGGTTTTGATTAGATTGGATAAGTAGGGCCGGCTGATGCAACTTATCTACCCTACTTCGGATTTGCGCCTCAATGACAAGCACTAGAGTCGTTTAAATTACCATGAAATTCGCCGCGCACTCCGCGCGCATATCATTGGGGCCCAAATTTGAGGTAAAGTAGATCAGAAGGATCATGTAACCCTACTAAACTACTCTACTTCGAGTTTGTGCTACGAAATTGGCGTTACTGTAGTACAAATCGGCACAAACTTTGCCGCGCGCGTCCTCGGACGCATGTAGTGCCCGTCCCCCACACATATGCACAGCACTAATTTGCTAACTAACTCTGAGAAGACCTGATTGGATTGATATATGCTGATGACATCATGATTTAGAAAGTTGTTGGGAGCTCAAAAAATTTTAGTGAAAAACTAGCTGTAATAAAGGGTGTTGGGTCCCGTCCTATTAGATGGGTTTTGCGATTTGCCTCTCTCATATGGCAGACTTCATTTTTCTGTATCGGCAAAGCTACGACGCAAATAATCGAGTAGACTACACGCTCAAGTAGGGTTCTGAAATCCGTGATCTTATCTCCAACTTGAACAACAGCTTCCCATTTCAGGCATTTGCGAGCCTCATGTAAGCATCTGATGTCCTGATGTTTGTGAGACCATTGGAATGTGCACCACAGCTTCCAAACCGTTCAAAAAAAAGGATTCATATTCAAATGAAAAAGTCCAGAGTATGTTAAACTTGCTATTCGTTGGTCTAGTTGGACATAGAATTTATTACTGGTGGTGCTGAACGTCACCGCGTCTTTGCCCTCTAGCCTGTTGATAACAAGAAGCCTAGGAGACCTTCTGATGACCCTATCAAGCATGACCACACAAGATTCCTGTCGCTTTCTTGAACATGTCAT